AATAATCCTAGCTACTGAGGAGGCTGAGATAGGTGGATCATGATTCAAAGCCAGCCCGGGCAGGAAAGTCCATGAAACTCTCATCTCCAATGAACCACCAGAAAACCGGAAGTGGTCCTGTAGCTCAAGTGGTAGAGCGCTAGCCTTGAGCTGAAGAGCCAAGGGACAACGTTCAAAGCCCAGAGTTCAAGCCTCACAACCGACAAAAAAAAAAGAAAAAAGAAAAATAGAAATGAGGGGCTGGGAAAGGTGGCTTTGCCTAGCATGCATTAAAGCTTTGGGTTCGATTCCTCAGTACCATAGACATAGAAAAACACAGAAGTAGTGCTGTGGCTCAAGTGGTAAAGTGCTAGCCTTTAGCAAAAGCAGCTCAGGGACAGTAGCCAGGCCCTGGGTTCAAACCCCAAGATTGACAGAAAAAAATAGAAATGACTGGAGAGATAAGAGGGGGAGAGAGAGAGGGGAGAAGCTAGGATTCTAGGTATAAGCCACCTCACCCAGCTATCTCTTCTGGCTGTGTATGTGCTAGTCCTGGGGCTTGAACCCAGTGCCTGCGTGCTGTCCTTAAGCTTTTTTGCCCAAGGCTGGTGCTCTATTACTTGTGCCATAGCTCCACTTTTGACTTCTTGGCTAGTTTCACAGACTTCCCTACCTGGGCTGGCCTTGAACCTTGACCTTCAGCTTTCAAGGGAGCCACCAGCACTTGGCTCTTTAAAAAAAAAAAAAAATGTCACTAAGCCTATCATGGGGTCTTTTATCTTTTTGACATCCTCTGACACTAATCACCTACCAAGAGTCCACGTCCAAATTCTTCCTCTACTGGGGCTTGAACTCAGGCCCTCAGCACTGTCCCTGAGCTTTCTTTACTCAAGGTTAGCGCTCTACCTCTCAAGCCACACCTCTACTTTCTGGCTTTGTGCTGCTTAATTGGAGATGAGTCTCTTGACTTTCCTGCCTGGGCTGGTTTTGAACTACAATCCTGAGGATCTCAGCCTCTTTGAGTGGCTGGGATTACAGATGCCAGCTTTTGTTCTCCAACTTCTAGCCCCCTGGGTGGGGAGTTTCAGCATGAGACTTTCAGTGGGACCCATTGAGTTGGCAGTGATGCCCAGTGACTGCTCTGGGTTTGAGAACATGGGCCACCATACCCGCGAGGTCACAGGGGCCTCTGTGACCTCATCAGCTCCTGGACTCCGAATTTACAAAGCACCCCAGGAGCTACAACCTATGGCGGCAGGATCACATTCCCTAGGGACGTGGGTCTGTACGTCCTGACCTCCAGCCACCATGGGAGATGATCAGGAGCAAACGAAGGAATCTTGCTCTAGGGTCCAGAGGTTGTTCAAGAGGGTCAAGGGTTTAGTGACCAGGGCGAGACCTGCCTCCCCACCCCCGCCCCCACCCCCGCCCCCCACCTGGAACCCAGGCTGCACGCACGTGTACGGGTACGTGTTCGGGCATGTGTCTGAAAGCCATCTTGAACATCCCCTGTCCCAGCAGGTGAGTCGGGACTCCCAACATGGATATCCCAGGGCCCGGACTGTCGGGGGAGAAAACCAGGATGATCTAGAATCATCCACGTGGGGGCCGTGGGCACAGAGACGCAGGACGAGGCTGGTCAAAGCTGGCTCTGGCCTCAGGTGCTGGACACGGGGGAGCAGCTGATGGTCCCCGTGGACGTCCTGGAGGTGGACAACGAGGGAGCCTTGTGGAAGTTCCTGCTGTCGGGAGCCATGGCAGGGGCAGTGTCACGCACAGGCACGGCCCCTCTTGATCGAGCCAAGGTGTACATGCAGGTGCGCAGGGAGGCGGCCCAAGCCCATGGGGACATCACAGGTGAAAGTGGCATTGGGGGCGGGATGGGAGTGCAGCTGGCAGTGGGGTTTTCTCGTGGAGGGGTGAGGAGACTGGGAGTTGGGAATGACAACAGCACTCACAAGGGTATGGTGGCGCACACGTGTAATCCCAGCTACTCAGGAGACCGGAAAACTGAGGCTCAAGGTTGTCCCTAGGTAAAAAGCGGGGAGAGCCTATCTGAAAAACAAGCTAAAAAGCAAAAAGGGATTCCTGGCTCCAAGTGCAAGGCCTTGAGTTCAAATCCCAGTATGAAGGCCTGAGGACAGGAGGCGGCGGGGGCGGGGGCCTGGGGAGGGAAGCTCTATATGGGTAGGCAGCCACATGGGGCCCAGGGCGGCTCCTTGGCCAGGAACTGGGGTGGAGAGGAGTGAAGCCTGAATAGGACAGGCAGATGGGAGTTGGGTTGGAGGGTTTGGAGCTGGCCGTAGGAGGAGATAGAGAAGTATGTGGGCAGTGTTGCAGATCATGTGTGCGCATGCGTTGCACCTGTGTGAGCCAGTTCCCTCTCCCACCCCCCGCCCCCGGCCAGGTCTACTCCTCCCAGGCTAACTTCATGAACTTGCTGGGGGGTCTCCGGAGCATGGTGCAGGAGGGGGGCGTGCGCTCGCTGTGGCGAGGTAACGGCATCAACGTGCTCAAGATCGCCCCTGAGTATGCCATCAAGTTCTCTGTCTTTGAGCAGGTAGGGGGCCTCGGCCAGCTTCCCCCAAACCCCCACCACCTCCCACCCCAAAATACAAACCCCACAGTCTCATCCCAGCCTTCCTGGCGCCCCGAGACCCCCGCCCCTCCCACCGGATGGCTTTGGGGGTGGAAAGGCAACTGGAACCCTACTCTCTCCCCACCAGTGTAAGAACTTTTTCTGTGGCGTGCACGGCTCTCCGCCATTCCAGGAGCGCCTCCTCGCGGGCTCGCTGGCTGTGGCTATCTCTCAGACCCTCATCAACCCCATGGAGGTGAGAGGATGCTGGGCCCACACACCCTGCCAGCCAGGGCCTGGCCCTGCGGCTCCCCCTCCCCTTCCTCCTCTACCATAGGAGATGGGCATCCATCCTTTACTCCAGATGCCCATTTCAACACCACTTCCAGAATGGTCTCATCTCCCACACCATCCAAGATGCCACCTCTGTGATCTGTGCTTGCCTTTTATGTATAGACTTTCTCTTGTGGCTTGCTTGCTTTCTCTCTCTCTCTTTCTTTTCTTTCTTTCTTCCTTTCTTTCTTGGTGCTGTCCCTGACCTTTTGTGCTCAAGGCCTGGCACATTGAAAATAAAAATGTTGGGCTGGGAAGATGGCTCAGTGGTAGAGTCCTTGCCTTGCATGCATGAGGCCCTGGGTTCCATTCCTTAGTACCACATAAGTAGAAAAAGCTTGAAGTGGCACTGTGGCTCAAGTGGTAGAGTGCTAGCCTTGAGCTGAAGAGCTGAGGGACAGTGCCCAGGCCCAGAGTTCAGCCCCACAACTAACAAAAAAAAAGAAAAAAAAAGAATCTCATAGTTTTTTCTACATGACCTGGCTTTGAATCACAATCCTTAGCTCTCAGCCTCCTGAGTAACTAGGCTTATAGGGCTATGATTATAGGCATGAGCCACCAGCGCTCACTTGGATGCATTCTTACTGATGAAGCCTGCAGCTTACGCAAGTGGGGCTGAGATTGATGGTTGGAAGGATCTAACATGACGTGTTGTAAAAGACTTACATGACACTGCTGCAGGAATCGCTTCACAGACCAAAAAGTCATTTTCTACACATCCTTCCTTCTCCTCTCCGGCCCTTGGCACACCTGACCAGGTTTCTATGCAGCCCAGGCTGGCCTGGTCTGGCCGCCATTCTGCCTTCAGCCTCCTGAGTGCTAGGACTACAGGTGTGCAAGCTCCCGCTGATCTTTTGACTGTTGACCTGGCCTGACCCTCTGTCCTCTTCATTCTCAGTTTTCCAGGATTAGCTATGAGGGATTCCCACCATAGTCAGCCATGCTCAGGATCACCTGAGTTTTCTCTGCTATGGCAGGTAGTCCAGCTTTTATGCGATTGTAGCTTCTGGTATTTGGATACAGGGTTCTTTTGATTATTTCTTTCCTTTTTTTTTTCTGTCTGAGACTGGTTCTTGAACTTGATACCTGACACTTTCCCTCATTGGCTAACATTCAACCAACTAAGCCATGCCTCCAACCCTGATAAGAGATTTTATAAAAATTCAGCCGAGTGCCAGTGACTCATACCTGTCATCCTAGCTACACAGGAGGCTGAGATCTGAGGATCGCAGTCCAAAGCCAGCCTAGGCAGGAAAGTCTGTGAGACTCTTACCTCCAATGAACCACCAGAAAACCAGAAATGGTACTGTGGCTCAAGTGGTAGAGTGCTCACCTTGAGTTGCAGAGCTCAGGGACAGCACCCAGGCCCAGAGTTCAAGCCCCACAACTGACCCCCCTCCAAAAAAAAATCTGGTGACAGATAGGGAATGAGTATCCTTTGATTAGGGAAGGCCCACCTAGTAATTTCTGCTCATTACCTGTAAGTCACTGCTAGCACGATGGTGCATGATGTGACCTGGGTGCCTGGACATGAAATCCAGTGAGCAGGTGACAGATCTGGGTCCCAAACCCTGCATGCAATGGGGACACGGTCTGTCACGGACAAAGGTCACAGAGAGGGTGGGAGCAACTGATCGGCCTTCCCTCCCCAGGTGCTGAAGACGCGGCTGACCCTACGCAGGACAGGCCAGTACAAGGGGTTGTTGGACTGCGCCAGGCAGATCTTGGAGCGTGATGGCACCCGGGCTCTGTACCGTGGCTACCTGCCCAACATGCTGGGCATCATTCCCTACGCCTGCACAGACCTGGCCGTGTATGAGGTGTGTGTTCCACAGGGGTATGGGCTGGCCTGGGCAGGACCCCCACTGAGCTTTCTCCTGCCCATCCCCTTTACCCCCACTTTGTGTGCTGGTCCTGGGGCTTGAATTCAGGGCCTGGGCACTGTCCTTCAGCTTTTTAGCTCAATACTAATGCTCTGCCACTTGGGCCACTTCCAGCTTTTTGCTGGTTCATTGAAGAGAAGAGTCTCAAGGACTTTCCTGCCCTGGCTTTGAACTTGGATCCTCAGCCTCCTGAGGAGCTAGGATGACAGGCATGAGTCACTGGTGCCTGACACCTTTCTGTCTTTCAAGTATTTCATGAATTTGTCCTTGGCATGTAGTTGTGTGTATTTCAGGGGTTCACTGTGCACACAGTGTGTGATGATCTGGTCACCAGTGGTGGCTTAGACAGTTCCCATTTCTTTGTGCTGAGGACAGTAAACAACTTCTCTATGGCTGAGTGTGGTGTGGCTTGCCAGCCACCCAGCCAAGTGAGCAGGAATTACATAGGATTACAGTCCAGGACACAGGCAAAAACACTCAAGATCCTATTAAAACAAAGAACCAGAACAAAACAGGCTGAGAGCATGGCTCAAGTGGTTAAGTGCCTGGCTGGCAAGCACTTAACCAAAAAAATTTTTTTCTCCCCACCGGTCACTAGTGATCATCACCTGTAATCCAAGCTTCTCAGCAGGAGACTGAGACCAGTTCAAAGCCAGCTTGGGCAGGAAAGTCTGTGAGACTCTTTTTTTTTTTTCTTTGTCAGTCATGGGTCTTGAACTCTGAGCCTGGGTGCTTTCCCAGAACTCTTCAACTCAAGGCAAGCACTCTACCACTTTGATCCACAGCACCACTTCCGGTTTTCTGGTGGTTTATTGGAGATAAGAGTCTCAAGGACTTTCCTGCCTCAGCTGGCTTTAAACGGCAATCCTCAGATCTCAGCCTCCTGAGGAGCTAGAAATCCAGGTGTGAGCCATCGGCATACTGCTGAGTCTGTGAGACTCTTATCTCCAATTAACCACCAAAAAGTCAGAAGTGAAGCTGTGGCTCAGGTGGTAGAGTACTAACCTTGGGCAAAAAACACTCAGGGACAGCGCCCATACCCTAAGTTCCAGCCCCAGGACTAGTACATACTAGCTTTTTGAGACAGAGTGTCTCTATGTATAATCCCAGAATGGCCATGGATTTTTTTCCTTTGCTTTCCTAATGAGGGGATTACAAGCGTGTACCACCAGGCCTATCCCTACTATTTTGAAATGTACAACCATGGTCACGGTTCTAGGTTATTCCTCCTATCCAACTGTACCAATATCTGTTAATATTCCTCTCTCCATTCTTCTCCTCCCCTTCTTTAGTCTCTGAAAATCACTATTCTGTCTACTTCTATGAGACTTGGTTTGTTTGGGTTTTTTTTAGGTTACGATGCATTTATCTTCCTGAGCTTCACTTATTCCACATAACATAATGTCCTCCAATTCTATCCATGGTGCTGCAAACAACAGGCCTTTGCTCTTTTTTACGCCTGAGTAATATTCCACTGTGCATGCAAACCATCTTTTCATTTATCCATTCTTGGTTTTATGAATAGCGTTCTTGCCTCTTCCTTTGACAGATGCTCCAGAGCTTGTGGCTGAAGTCTGGCAAGGACATGGAGGACCCCAGTGGCCTGGTCTCTCTGTCGTCTGTAACGCTTTCCACAACCTGTGGACAAATGGCCAGTTACCCACTGACTTTGGTGCGCACCCGGATGCAGGCAGAAGGTCAGGCTGGCCTCAGTGGCCACTACATATGCCCTTATCTGCCTATATTGGAATTTGTTTATTTATCCTCCCTCCACTCACTGATACACTGAACTCAAGCCTTTTTTTTTTTAGCCTGTCCCAGGGCTCTAACTCTGGGTTCGGGCACTGCCTCTGAGCTTTTAATGCTATAGGCTAGCACTCTTAACAGTGGAGCCACAGTACCACTTCTGGCTTTTTCTGTGATTAATTGGAGATAAGAGTCTCATGGACTTTTTTGCCCTGGCTGGCTTCAAACCACAATCCTCAGATCTCAGCCTCCTGAGTAGCTAGGATTACAGGTGTGAGCCACCAGCACCCAGCCCCACTAAACCTTTTACTCACCCCCACCCTCCCAATCTGACTCCAGCTTGGGGGGGAGGGGGAGGCAGCAAAACATCCATCCACAAAAGATCCCCACAAACTCAGGCCCCCAATCTCACTCCCCAAACACCCCTCCCTTAAAAACAAAACAAAACAAAAAAAACTCTCTCCAATTAGACCCAGCCCATAGCTTGTCTTGTTCCCACAGACACGGTGGAGGGCTCCAACCCCACCATGCGTGGAGTGTTTCGTCGGATCCTGACCCAGCAGGGCTGGCCGGGGCTGTATCGAGGCATGACCCCCACGTTGCTCAAGGTGTTGCCCGCGGGGGGCATCAGCTACGTGGTATATGAAGGAATGAAGAAAACCTTGGGTGTGAGCTGACACTGCTCAGAACTTTCAGGAACTGCAAGACCTAGTGTCCTTAGATCCCAAAAAAGTCCTCCCAGCCTCAGGCTCCCAGGCAGTTCAGAGGGCTTGGGTTAGAAGACCACTTGGGTTTCTTCCCCATGGTACAGCCTGAGTCCTGAGTTTGGACTCTGGTCCGGGTTCTGCTGGATCGTCCTGGCTCTTAAGGCTGTATAGCTGATGACCGTTCAGACAATTAGGAATAAAGATGGGGTTCTGCAGGATGTGTCAGGGGTACCTGGGTCTAGCCAAAGGCCTTGGATCTTCGGGTCCAGGATGTGGGAATAAGAGACTGAAGAGAGTAGAGAGCGTGGCATGGGGGGGGGGGAGACCCCTCGACCCTGAGGAGGGAGAACGGGTGGCACCAGGGAGGTTCTAGACTAGGGGGGGTAGGGAATGCAAGGGGTTTTCCCCTAGCTCCCAGGCCACCACACCGCCGGAAGCACTGGTCCACAGGCTTCAAGCGGGCCACGTGCAGGACAGACCCAGCCCGGAGCCTGGGGTGCTAACTCCGACGTCAGGCCTTGAGTTCCAGCAGCCGGTCACCGCCGCCCACGTAGGCTGCCATTCACTCCGGTTCCCGCCAATCCCCCCACGCCGCTGGGTGCCCGGCTCCGCCCTAATGCAGCTGCGCGTCCACTGGCTCCCACCAAAACTGGGCAATTGATTTCTTCCATGGCTATTTGCCCATTCTCGGTGTCAGTCAAGGAATATCCCGCCCCTGCCCCTCAGCCATTGGCTTAGAAGTCAGGGCTGGAAAAGGATTCTGGTTAACCAGAAAAGCATGCCCAAATCCAAGCTCCATCATCCAGAACTTGTCAGGGATTCGATTAAATTGACTGTCAATCTTTAAAAGCACCTCCTTCCTCCTGTGTTCATTGGCTGAGGTTCACGATTATCACGCCGAGCGCCCGCCAAACCGGCGCCGCCTCCCAGTCCACGTGACTCTTTGGAACCATCCGCCAGATTCTGAAGCCACCCCTTCAATCTAGAACTCACGCTTCACTGGGCTTCCTGCCGTCTGGAATCGCCACGATCTGCCTTCGCAGGGCCGACAGCCCCCAGCCCATTGCCTTCTAGACCTGTCGGTCACTCGGTGCCTCCCGCCCACTGCCTCTCGCGGCGCTGCGATTGGCTGATGATCTCCAGGGCTCGCGATTGGTGCGCGGGGAGCGAAAGCCGCCACCTATTGGCCGGACCGCGCTGTCCGTCACGTCGCCGGCGGGCGGGGGTACCCTCTCCCCCCTCGTCGTCTTCCCAGCCGCTGGGCTCCCAGAGTGCTCCGCGGCCGTGTGGAGCGAGGCCTTGTTCCCGCGTTGAGCCGCCGCCGCCGCCGCCACCTCCTCCTCAGCCTCAGCCTCCGCACCAGGCCCGGCCTCGCCGCGCCATGTCGGACTACAGCTCGGGAGGACCCCCGCCCGGGC